ACGACACTAAGGGCTATTCACTACACCTGCTATATTGGGAAAATGGGTGTGGCTTCGTGAGACACCCTGCGGACGCTGCATACTACTGCTGCTGCCAGTTCAACTTGTTTCGACTTCAACTGGCCAATTCTCTAAAGATATCAATGGCCCTACCCCAACTTGAAGTCCTGCAACGGGCGACAGCACCGACTACTGCCTTCCCAGAGTCTCTCGTACACTGATTACTAGGGGATACGAACCAAGGCTGGAGGCAATTGGATCGGCGAGAAGATTCCATAGCGTGTTTGTTGACGCTGTTCGTGGTATGTGGCCGGCCTCAGTGTACATGTCTGCAAGTGCACCACTGGGTGTACTACGAGAAATACCAGATGCTACACCGCAACACTGAGCTCAATAGCATCATGTGGTATGAGCGTGATGAACGGGTCGGCGTGCTGTGTGACTGGGACCTTGCGGAAGATCATCGGGGCATAGGTGAGTATAGGACCAATCGTCGTGCTGGCGACAACGCTGCGGTGATTTGGCAGTAGACCGGAAAGAACATTCAGCCACGCAGGCGACGGCGACGGCGAATCCGCCGGCCATTGTCGGGGTGAAGCAACGGAACAGCCCCAAAATCCGGAGGTCGCGGGACCATCGAACACGGTGACAGGGTCCCAGGTCGTAGTCAAGCCAAGGTACCCCGCGGGCACGGCGGTCCTGTTTATGGCAATGGACCTTTTGCGCGAGGGCGACCCACCAATCCACAAGTATCGTCACGACTTTGAGTCATTCCTCTACGTCTACATCTATTTGCGATCACATATAACCCTGACGAGCTCGTTTTCGGCTACATCCAAGAGTGGCAGCATGCCTCGCTCATTACCATCGGAGACAACAAGCGCAAGTTCCTGAAGAAGCCAGCGGTCCGCAGAGCAATCGTGAAACAAGCCCACGATACCCTCAAGCCACTGCTAGACGAAGACAGTCCCCTGACGGCCCTCTTCTATCGCTTCGGCACAGTCGAGGTCATCATGGATTTTATTGAGGATCGTGCAAGTAGTCCTCAGATGGCGAAACTCAACCGGGCCGATATCGAGTCGCTGAAGAAGAAGCGGGAGGACAAGATGTCCTTTAGCACATTCATGACGATGCTGAAGCTTCTCGAGGAGGGTATCTGAGTCCTGACACGTTACAGGTGATATTGGCTTGACTCCATGGAACTTCTGAAGGCACCTATTGTACTGCAGCGAACGGTGACCAAGGGGCATAATACAAGAACCGGTCTCACGCCTTCGAATCTTGCTATCTCCCCTCCTTTGTACTACCCAGCGGGCCTCCTAGGAACAAGATGTAGCGGCACACGCGATCCTTGAATGCCAGGAATTCTGGGACTCCCGTGACAGCATATGCCCACCTGTCCCTCAGCCATTCGATTTCATCAGCCTCATTTATGCACTGGCCCACGAATCAGTCGTACGGCAGGCACCTGACGGACGGCTGAGCGTCCTCCTGAACGGAGACGGCTCGACTGATCCAGGTGCTGCTGATCCTGCCAGCATGGGTAACGTGATCTGCTGGCTACTCGCAGGAGGAGGAGGAACGCAGGCGACACGATCGACCGGAGTGTCCTAGGGCAGGGACTCCTTCCACGCGGCTAGGAACGCGGCGAGCTCTACGCTGCGCGACGCAGTGGAGAAGCAGTATCGCTACATCATAATGAGTTGTCCCCGTGCTTCGGGAACGTTCTCACACCGCATCGACTGCAAGCAGATATGGTCCGAAACGGTGTACATGCTCCCGCCCTTTCTTGTCGCTACGGCGCTGTCACAGATCCGATACAACAACGGCGTCAATGACTCCATGACTCCCGCCTTCCTCATCGAATATGGCCTACAGCAGATCGTCCACGCAGCAAAGGTGCTGCAAGCTCCGAGTGGGGAGTGGTCACACATCTATGACTTCGATGCGCAAGACTTCAAGCGAAAGGCGTGGTGGGGCGTCGGGAACGGCTGGGCGTGCTGCGGCATTGTCAGAGTGCTCGGCATGCTCGTCCGCCCTCAGGCTGCGGAGACGAGCCGAAACAACGTCGACCGGCGGTTTGAGCTCTCTAGGACGATCGCGGGCAACGCAGCGAATATGCCGCTCATCCGACAGTGCGGCTCGATACTCCTGTTGACTCTCCGCGCGTGCTTAAAACACATGCGGCCTGATGGGCTCTTTCACGACATCCTGGATGACCGCTCAACGTTTGTCGAGACGAACCTGCCCCAGATGCTCGCCTACACTATCTTCTGCCGCGCCCTCCTCCGCAGACACGCTTCGGGGTTCCAGTTGTCGGGCCCGTGCTACCTACCGGAGCTCGGCGACGATGAGATGAACGGGTGGCTGCATACGGTGGAGCAGATGCGCAAGGCAGCAGTGGGTAAGACGGATGGGTGGGGCTTCGTGCGAGACGTTTGTGGGAGCCCCCGTTTCGACAAGGCAGGTACTGCGGAGGAAGGCCAGGCATGGGCGATAATGATGGAGGTTGCACGAACATCGGAGTGGCGGCTGGTCGAGGGTGCCGCCGATAGGAGGAGGAGAGCATTGAGCAAGTTGTTCAAGTTCTCGTCGAGAGAGACTAGTAGTTCGATATGCCGTCGTTACAGTAGTCGACGTATAGTTCAAGCTAATGCGAGAGCACGAATGCCGTTGTATTTCCTCGACGCACGGCACCAATTGACCCGGAGACTGCTGACTCCAACCGTGGCCGTCTTGCGTACGACACGCTACTTTGAAACTGTCTCAAGGTTGTGGCCGCATGTGCACTTCCCAGCCTATGAGATGCCGTTGAATATGGCATACTGACGCAAGCGTCCTCAATGAGGCAGTCGGACACTCACGCTGAGACAATGCAGCGCTGCCATGGCACTGCAGCCTCACAGATTTGGACATTGCCTATGTCCGGACATGTCGAGGCGCAGATCTGAGATCTATGGCTGAGCCGTTAGACGCCCGAGGTGAGTGGCCAACCCTGGTCCAACCGCCCTGGCCTGCACTCAGCACCGCTTGCGGCGAACAAATCACTCAAGCACCCGCCTGCAAGAACTGGAGCTGCGCCAGGTCTCTGACAGAACGAAGGCATCGAGCAGGCTCTTCGGCGGGGCGGGGACCTAGGTTGCACCTTCCCACGGTGCCATCACTGATCAGTGTGGCTGCTTGCATTGTCTCCCCGATTTGGCAAGCGCTGCTGAACTTGTACGTCCACGTCCACGACGGGCGCCGCGGTGCGTTGTTCTCTGTGACTCACCGGCCACACCGCTGAGTCTGAATTCGGGCAGCCACACTCTAGCACACTCTTCACTCACCACGCATACGCGTGTATATAAACATGGACGCGCCCCAGGTACAATGTGGTCCGTTCCCACTCGCAGGCATCTGGCCACAACTCTCCCTCCGCGCAGAGCCGCCACACCACCCTCGGGCGTTCGTCATCGTCCAGGATAGATCACTAGAGCTTTCTTCACTTCGGCTCTTCGCCCGCTCAACGATGGGTAGTAAACAGTCCGAGTCTGCATTGCCCAGGACACCGTCGAAAGGGAAGGAGAAACAAACAGAGCGTAAGTGAGATATCTTGACCGTACTGATCCTTGCACTCACTGTGTTCATTGCAGCAGAAACGCAGATCACCGCCACGCCGGCTAGAGGCAGTCCTTACCATGTACTTCAGACGGCCACTCGCCCTGGTAACAACATACTCTCGGACGATCACCAGCATTACATTCAGGGCGCATACAAAGACTACACTCACTGGGACGTTGATGTCGAGGACTTTGTTCGTGCGGTATTCGGCTGCCAGTGGACCGACATTGAGGCCTTGCGGGAGCCCTATCGTGACCCATCGAACACGAAGGATATCCCCCCCGAGAAGTACTTTATATCCAAGGTCGAACTCAAGAAATACTGGGAGGGTAACGAGAGGAATGGTTATGAGCCGTTCGCTCGCGCAGGGGACGCGCTTCTGGAGGAGCTATATGGCCCGCATTCGACCGGCAAAGCTCCCGACGAGAGCCTTGTGGCTAGACGTCAAGCCCTCCAGCGGCGATGGGCCAACAACTCTTCGCGCAACGGTCAAGTTATGCGCCCCTGGCCAGCAAGGTTCGAGATCCGGGATGTCAAGGCGGTGGGCAACTTCGGTATTGATGAAAAGCCGGACCTTGCGTACAGCACGACGGCCGGCAGACCCTTCTGGGAGTGGGAGCTGGTTTCGATGGAGTTCAAAATGGAAGGGAAGACGGGTGCGAAACGCAAGGAAATCATAGATTCTCTGAGCGATATACTGCTTCGCTGGGACGAGAAACAGAAGACGTTTGTTGTGGAGGTGTGTTCTCTTTTTGTGCTCTTGCGTGCGAGTCGCGCGACTGGGATCTCATTGACCCCCTCCCCAGATGCCTGATCGTCGTGGCCAGGCAAAGGGGAAATCGTCCAAAGCCGCTCGCGACGATGATGCAGATTACGTTCCTGGGAAGCAGCCCAAGCAGACGAAGAAGAAAGGCCAGTCGTCGACATCGTCGAGCAGCAAGCGAAAGCGAGAAGCCGAAGAGGCTCTGAATACCAAGAGCAAGCGCAGCAAGAACCAGCCCGACTCGGAGTCGCCTTCTGCTGCCTCTGAAGGGTCAAAGATAATCGGCAAACAGGCGCAGGTGGTGAAATACATGAATCAGGTGATGTCCCACAACGTACGCTCGTATACGATCGCATGGCTGGTCGACTCCGGCACGCTGAGGCTCGTCTATGGCGACCGAATGGGAATCATCTTCACGAAGCCGATCGATTTTCTGGACAAGGACGCGAGCTTGCTCTTGCTGATTCTCGCCGCCATGGGGACCGCCGATGTGCACGACCTGGGGATTCACCCGTGCGTCCACTACCCGAAGGATGCGCACGGGCACGACCAGTTCTGTCTGGACAACGGGTATCGAGGCTCGAAGCTTCGACTTGCCGTCGAACTTGACGAGGGGACCGCCGTCGATGTCGAGTTCAATCTCGATGTCAGCGAGAGCAACATGAGGGACATGCACCGGGCGAAGAAGGAGAAGAAGAAGACTGCAACGAGCGGTGCGCAGCGAGCGAGCCGGGGAGCCTCGGAGACGGTGGAGGGAGCACTGGAAGACTCGGAGTCGAGCCAACGCCGCACGATCTACACCGAGTTTGGCATGATCGGACGAGGGACGACGGTCATTCCCGTGGTTGCGGCGCCCGGCACGAAGACGGAAGAGCTGTTCGGATCGGAGGCTCTTGTTGCCAAAGTGGCCTGGCCGCACGCTGTCCGGAAGGCGGAGGACGCGATGATCAAGGCCGTTCGCAGACGTCTGGCGGAGAGCAAGCCGAACTACTTGAAGCACATCGTGGACCTCAAGTGTTCGATGACGAAGAGCGGAGACTCGGAAGAGATGCACCTCCCTCGTTTCAAGTTGGGCGTTGTTCCCGGGGCAGATGAGCTACGAGTCTGCCGCATTCTGGTCCTCAAGGAGTACGAGCCCCTGGAGACCATCGGATCCGGAGATAACTTCCGCATCGTGTTCTTTGATGTCGTTCGTGGTACGTGCATAGTGAACATCGAGTCTTAGCTTCGTCTGACTGTGACTACAGCTCATCACTGGGTGTACGAGACGTCGAAGATCCTGCATCGTGATATAAGCCTCAACAACATCATGTGGTATCGACTGCCAGACGGGCGGATCATCGGTGTTCTTTGCGACTGGGACCTTGCGGAAGACCAGAGTACGGGCGACAACAGACCCACTCGTCGTGCTGGTGACGCTGCTGCAGTGATTTGGCCACCAGAACCAGAACCAGCCGGCGCAGTCGACGACGAAACCGAGTCTGCCATCCATCGCTGAGGGTGAAGCAACGGAACAGCCCCAAAATCTGGAGGGCGCGGGACCGTCGAACACGGCGACAGAGCCCCAGGCCGTAGTCAAGCCAAGGTACCGCACGGGCACGGGCCCGTTCATGGCATTGGACCTCTTGCGCGATGGGCGATCCACCTATCCATAAGTATCGACACGACCTAGAGTCGTTCTTCTACGGCTATATCTACTTTGCTGCGGCATACAACCCAGACGAGCAGGCCTTCGGCTACATCAAGGATTGGCAGTGTGCTTCCCTCGTCGCCATCGGGGACAACAAACGGAGGTTTCTGGAAGAAGAATCAATTCGTCGCAACGTAATGAAAACCGCCCACGATACTCTGAAGCCGCTGCTGGCCAAAGGCACTCCGCTGATGAACCTTTTGTATCAATTCGGCGACATCGAAACTGATAGGGCCATCATCACGAATGTTGTCAATAACCCCAGGATGACGCTGGAGCGTAAGCGGGCGAAGATTGAGTCGCTGGAGAAGGAGAGGGAGGAAAAGATGTCCTTCAGCATATTCATGGAGATACTGGGGGTTCCCGAGGAGGAGAGTGTGTGAAATGTTACACGTAGCGTTGGCTTCCGCCGGTTGGTATGGACTTGTATGGTTCCTGTTCCTCGCATTGACTCCCCTGGACTCGACTTCCATATTTAAATGATCATATGTGTGTACTTGCATGGATGGGTGCGAACATGAACATCAACGTACGCATCAACGCGAACCAAGGTGAACACGACAGCGATGCCAGGACTCAGCGAAGCCTATGCACAACTACGTCACATGCCAGTTGGAAATCCAAACCCATAATGTCCCACGTAATGTACTATCCTACAGGCACAGTGCATAACGTTTCCCATTATCCTCCTACCCATCCCGTCGCTACTGACGACATCCAGGCCTATTCAAGCTGAACAATCCGGCAAATAGACACAGAAAACCCTAACGTGGAATGACCACTGAACCTCCCCGTCAATGTCGTCAACACGTCTGAACGTCCACCGCCGCATGACACCACACCCAGCCTCGCGCACGCGAACAACCTACTCACCGCGCCACCACGCCCCAAACACACATCACCAAGCCGAGCAACGCACCGCTGACCGCGCCCCGACCGAGCACGCCCGCAGCGCCGCTCGCGACCTGCGCCACGACGGGCGGCTCAACGTACTGGTTCGGGCCCTCGAACCTGCAACACGCCCGACGAGTTGAGGAGCAGGTCCGGCATGAAGACCGCGGGCCGACCGCTCGTGGTAGTCCGTGAGATGGTGCCGTTGCTCCCGACGAGGTATTTCTCGCGCGACATGATCCTGCGAGGGGGTGCTTCAGGTCCGGCTCCGGCTCCGAGGGGATGAAACGAGCGGAGGCGTGCTTACTTGTTTGTCGACGTCGATATATCCCAAGGTGTATAAACGGTGACGGTGGCGTGCTTCGGTTAGATCGTCGGAGCAGAGTTAGCTCAACAGAACCGTGCGGCGACCGATATTCGTCAGAATAGTGATGACGTCGCCCTTGCAAAGCTGAGCACACACTGTGACACAGTCGCTCTGCGTGGCCATCTCCATCTGCGGCGACGCCCAGTTGCTCGTGCCGTTCACGACAAAGTTGGGGAACTGATCTCGCCGGGGGTCAGCGTTCCAGAATATGATGCGAAACATACGCCACGACTCCGGGAGAGGGTCAAGCTCGTGCCAATAGACCCGGTGTCCTTTCCGGCGTCGCCACGGTCATCCGACCCGCAAACACAGAGCCTGTACGACGCGGGATGCTTTTTTGAGAGACAGTGAGTAGCAATACCGAACTTGAAGGCATGGAAAGTGTATGTATAGTCCCCATATGTACCACAGCGTCACACAGAGCGTCGGGGATCGCGCGTTGCGCGACGACCAGGCTCGTGAGCGCGAGCGCGAGGCTCCACACCTTCCCGTTCGCGAGCGCGAGCCAGAGGCCCGCCCGCGTCCGCACCCGGGTCAGCATCGGGTGAGCTGGTATCCTTGCGTATGCGCGGCGAGTCCGAAGTCGCACCTCGGCCGAGGTGAGCCAGCGCGGCCATGTGCTCGGGCTGGACGGAAAGTTGGGGAGGACGAAGAGTGTGCACTTAGGGCACAGACTCCGAGACAGAGGAGATCGTGAGCGCGCGCACAACGATTCTGAAGACCCACCTGCCATCACAAGTCCGTCAGTGCGCGCGAGACGGTACGGGATGAGACACGCACTACCAGGCGGTGTGCCCGAGCCTGCTCTGCATGCCAGCAGGTATTCAAACGTATTGCTGATGAGCCCGCACGAGAGCACGGCGGTGTGCACGCCGAGCTCCGCGCACGCATACCACTTGGAGATTGAGAGGAGGAAAAGCACACCGGGGAAGGCTGGCTCGACGAAGCGAGCGCACCGACGAAGCTGTTTCACGGAGACTCAGCGCATAGGCAATGGCATGGATGGAGAGCCAACTTGGTCACGGATGAGTTTGTGCAATAAATAAGTACTTATGTTGTTATCAAGTGATTTCAGACGACGGTGGCTGTGGCGCGGCTCTGCGACTCCGCGAGCTCGACCTCCTTCTCCTCATCGTCATGTACAACGAGGACCGCTGGTCGACGCCTGTACTGTATTGCGTTACACAGCGCTGTTAATTCGACACGCGCGACAGGCTATACGCCAACTTGTGGCTCGGCCACTAGTATTCTCAGGGGCTTACTTTCACCGTGGTCCGTATATGTACATCGCTGCGGACTCGGACGCTGCGCCGCAAGGTGAGACGACACAAGCTGTCCGACGCACTCATCTGATAAGTTTCTCGAGACTACCTAATCACTCACCTGTCTTCTTGAATGCACTTGGGACCGGAGGTGGTCGATGACTTCGACCAGGTGAGCCGGGTGTACCTACTGGCGTGCTAAACAGAGGCATCTGAACACGCTCCATTCCTAGCGTATGATGGCCTACAACGGTCTCGTACCGTACTATGGAGGTAACGATCCGAATCGTTCGACGCGTCGGAGACGCGCCCCCACCCCTCAGCCTGAGATTACGCCGCCTGCAATGTCAAAGGCCTTGAACGAGGCATTAGCACTGGCCAAGACCGCGCAGGGCAGCGCCGACCTGCTACACGAAGCACTGGTCAACGCGGAGGGCCCGCAGGAACTGCTTAGGGGTATCATCCCGGTCCGTCATTTACCTTTTCATATACGCGACTATATACGCATCTCATCACGCCACTCGTCCCCGTGTCTGCAGGAGTTCCGGAATGGCTGTCGCGCCTCGCTGAACATCACTGACGAGCAGATCTCATGGCTTTCCAATGTGATACGGTCCCGCGATTCTTCTCCAGTGCTCGCGACGGCATTGAAGGAGCTTGAAGCAGTGCATACCGAGCTGCTCGATGTTCTCCGGCTGTATGACGGACTGGAGCGAGCAGGGTCGGATCGTGTGGCTCAAGAGCGCGTGAAGAACAACTATACGGTTCATAGCTCAGTCTTCCTCTGTATATCCATGAAAGTCTCAATGACGCCTGCAGATACGCCGCTTAACGAGCGGTACCGGGCGCGCGAATGGTACCGGGAGCGGACAAGCAAGTAGCTCCAACGGACCAGCCCAGGCGCCCTCACCTTCGAACGACGAGAGGGTTCGGCGCGTGTCAAGCA